ATAAAGCTCTAGAACAGTGCCTGACATAAAGTAAGTACTTAATAAACATAGACTACTGGAAGATTAGAGTAAAATTCAGAAAAGAAATGATTGTTTATGACATTGGCCATAGAAATTATGGCATAAGAAACACAGAGCTTTATACCTGAGTACAGAGAGGATGGCTACATCATCGCAATATTGTCTATCAACTATGTCTGTACCAAAAACAAAAACAGGTAAGGGAGAGAAATCTTCCTTATGCCTCTGAGTCAGGTATAAGAGGTATCAGTGACCTTCTCCCTTTGATATCTGGGGTTAACTGAGAGCTAAACAGATGCAGACATTCTAAACATTTTATTTTATTTTTACTTCTGTGCTTAAAGCCATTCTGTGTATTACTGTCAGAAGACTGATCTAGGGAGAATTCCTGGGCTACTTTTCAAGATTTCTGACAATCTTCACTTTAGCTTCATAGAAATTCAAAGAACATCTAGTATGTCAGATAGTATACTAAAATTTGGGATACAAATTTCCCTATAGTCCAAGTCATCTACAAGTGTATGATCTACTTGAATCAAATCCAATTGAGATTTAAAGGGGAAAACAACATTTACCAAATACAATTATTCAGATAAATTTTCTGACAGCCTGTTTACAGGAGCCATGAAAAAACTTCAACTAGGGACAGCATGTATATATATGAAGTTCAGTCTAAAAGAAAGTTCCAAAGTAAAGCAAACAATTACAGATAGAACTCGTAGACAGGAACTAAATTCAGTGATGCTTCTCCAGCAATATCTTACTGGATAGCATTTTGTTTCTTCTCTTCCCTCACCTTGGAAACATCCAAAAGAAGAAATTAGCAATGACCCAGTTGTACTTATCTATGAATGTGCTTTAGGGTGGAAATGATAGCAGATGGCAAATTACCTATTATCTCTAAAAATCCTTTGAACCTTGATTGGAGAGAATATGTAAATGGCTTTCTTTTCCCTGCTCAGAGGGGTTTAGCTGTCCTGTCTGGGATGATAATGCAATCATCTGCAGAAAACACAAATTCCCCAATTAACATCACAGCCATGGGAAACTTTCTCTATGAAAGGCAAACTCAGGCAGGCCCCTACATAGCCATCAAACCAAGAGGGTTTGGCTTGATTGAATTGATTAGATCTTAGTTAAGTGTCTTATTACTTTTTTTTCCCCCTTTTTGGCAAGGAGTCATCAAGGCAAAGTCTCCTCATTGTCTTTCAAAGAATCTTCTCAAGCCTATCTTTATTCAAATAGAATATAGAAAGACCCAATCAAGTTCAAGCTTTTTTCCACAGGGCACACTAATATCAACATGATAGTCAAGGATTCGTAAGACTGAACATTACTATGTGCTCATATTATCATGTGTCTCAAGTGTATTTAATTCACTTGGGACATTGACCTCTTTGACTCCTTTTGTCTCTCAAACCTAATTACCTAATTTTGTCCATTTAAGACCTCTTCCCCCTCACCACTTCCTCTGAGGTTTTTACCACTTTTGACTCATTTTTCTTTTCTGTCATCTGCCACCTGACTTAAACATGCCTAAATGATTTGAAATGCAAAGTAGATAATGTCATTCCCTCCTTAAAACATTCGATAACTCTCTACTATGCAGAAATCCGAAGTTCACACTCACTTACCTTTCAGTTCCTTTATCTGTGAAGGAAGAACTATAATTGTACCTACTCATAAACTAGCATTTACCAAACATGATTATTCAGATAAATATTCTGATAGCTTATCAACTTACAGGAGCAATGAAAAGGTTTCGACTAGGCACAGCGTGTTTGAATAGCCTAAAAGAAAATTCCACAATTAAACAACTACAGCTAGGGCTCTAAGGCAGGAAATAAACTCAGCAATGCTTCTCTAGCTATATCTTACAGGTGGCAATTTGTTTCTTCTCTTCCATTTCCTTGGAAACATCTAAAGGAACTAGCAATAACCCACTTGTACAGAGAGCAATATCACACTTTTTGGACTAAGGCAGTTGGATAACACATAGGCATAAATGCTTCCCAGGCCAAACTGAACATGTTTAGTTTTGCTTATAAAGTACACTTTGGAATGGAATAACAGAAAGCCCTTTCACACAGTGACTTATCTCAAGGAATTAAACATCATAACCAAAAAGTTTTATTTAGGCCAAAGTTGGCAATCTTACACTTTTTGGACTATGGCAGTGAGAGTTAATAAATGAGTTAATGTGCATAAAATGCTTAGAAGAGGGACTGGTATATGTTAAATGAAAGGCTTATCCGCAGTGATGATGATGATGATGATGTGATCATATTAACCATTTTTTTCAGAGAGGCATGGCTATAGGTTCAGGGATAGCTCATTTTGGCATAAAAACAAACAAACAAAAACAGAAAACTACATCATGACTTTTCTGATAATCTAACACAACGTGGAATGGCTAAACAAAGCTAAGTAACATATGCAAGAATGCAGTATATTATTATTAACTATAGTTATCATGTTTTACTTACTTAAATTTACCCCTTGTATTTAGCTGAAATTTTGTAACCTTTGACCAATATCTCTACTTCTGAGAAATCACTTTTTTTGGCTAATGTACATGCATTCACCAGAGGGACAAAGCAAGAGGGAAAGGAGAAAGTTCCTCTTTTGGGGAATGGACACATCTTGTCTATTCTCCCTATTTTTGGGATCTGAGATATGGGTGAACACACCCCTGGCATGTTTCTCAAACTATAAGGTCCAGGGCTCAAACTGTGAGGTTGGCAATGTGGGATCCATCTCCATTAACCACCAGGCCATAGAACTGACCCCAGACCAATAGTTTTTGGATTCCACGAGTGATCTCATGCAATATTTGTCTTTCTGTGCAGCTTATCTCACTTAACATAATGCCTTTCAGCTTTATCTTTGCTGTTGCAAATAAAATAATTTCTCCTATGTTTAATGTATTTCCTAGTTTATATACCACATTTTCTTTATTCATCATGGATGGACACATAGGTTGATTCCATATCTTAGAAATGCAAGTAATGTAGGACTACCAGCAGATGGCCTAATGGTTCTGTCATGGGACTCCCACATATCGACCACAGTTCGAGTCCCAGACCTGGCAGCTTAAAACTCATGTCAGGGGCATGTGCATGCGTGAGTGCCTTAAATCTCAAAAGGAGAATGGAGGAGAAGGGGTTATGGTGTAGCCATCCCTGCTGGGAGGGGATTTCTAGTTTTCTGTCTCTCTCTGTCTCTCCAATGAGCACATGCATCCTATAGCAAAAATCTCTCTCTCTCTAAAAAAAAAGCAAGTAGTGCTGCAATGAATATGAGGATGCAGCTGTTTCTTAGACATGTTGATTTCATTTCCTTTGGATATACATATACCTGATAGTAGAATTGCTAGATCATATGGAAATAGTATTTTTAATTTTTTGAGGAATCTTCATAATAACAGTAACAACTCAATAATGATAATAACATTATTATTTCCCATAATAGTGGTACTAATTTATACCCACCAACAGTATGCATTGGTTCCTTTTTTGTTAACATTCTTGCTAACATTTGTTCTCTTTTGCCTTTTTTGATAATTCTAACTGACATGAGATGATATTTCACTGTTTTTCTTTTGTATTTCTCTGATGACTAGTGATTTGATAATTTTTCATATATTAGGGGTCTTCAAAAAGTTCATAGAAAATGTGTAATAGAAAAAAATCTTGCATGAATTTCTGAAAAATTTTTTATCAAAAGTAACTCATACTTTAATTTCATATTTTCAAATTTTCTGGAGTCCCTACAAACATGTTGGATATTTGTATGTATTCTTTTGAGAAATGCCTACCCAGGCCCTTTGCCCATGTTTTTCTTTGCCCATGTATTTTATTTTTCTACCTTTCAAATATAGCCTTTTAATTTTTTTAATCTTAAATTTTCATTTATTTTATACATTTAATCACTATACATCACCACAGCTTGTAAAGTGAATTGACCCAACGTGAATACACTTCACATCAGTCCAGCTGAAGACACCATCCACATTTGCACATATTTTAATTGAGTTGCCTTCTGGCTATTGAAGTGTTTGAGTTCCTTGTGTATATTGGATATTAATTTTTCATGGACTGTGGTTTGCAAATACTTTCTACCATTTTGTAGGTTGTTTCTTCTCTTTGTTTTTTATTTTGCTGTACAGAAGTTTTTAGTTTGTGTAATACCATTTATCTATTTTTGTGCTTGTTACCTGTGCTTTTTGGGTTATATCGAAGAAATCATTGTCTAGGCCAGTGTTGTGAAGCTTCCTCCTATATTTGCCTCTAGCAGTCTTACAGTCTCAGTTCTTACATTTGTATCTATGATTCATTTTGAGTTAAGTTTTGTACATGGCATGAGATAAGGGTCCAATCTCCTTCTGCATATGTATATACAATTTTCCCAGCACCATTTATTGAAGAGGCTATCTTTTCCCCATTGTCCTTGGCACCTTTGTCAAAAATTAGTTGGCTTAGCCCATTGATATTTTAAAAACTAAATACCATTAATATAAAGAAGTATTAGAGGTAGTTATTAATTACGCAAATGGATTCATTCCAGAGTTTTTGTTTGTTTGTTGTGTATTAGTTATCTAGACTTAAGTTCTCCACACTCCTCCCCTCCTTAACTAAACTAGTGGACTAGAATGCAAATACCACCACACACTGTTAATAACTGCTACTGGGGCAAAACATCGTACTAATTTCAATGGGGCATACTGGGATATTAAGCAATTTCTTTTCCCCTCTACCTCATGAGTAGAGAGCAGGGATTCAACTGGCTCACAGTCACTAGAGCCACTGCATTAGTTAGTGGAAATATTGCTCACCAAATAAAAGACATGGAGGGGGATCAAAGACATGGAACAGGACATAAAAATAAGAACCAAATGATGATCCACAGAGGCTGGATACTCCAAGCAGACTAGCCAATGAGCAAGTACTATAAACAACTTTCCTTTTTTTCATACCCAGGTGCTACTGGAAGAGTTCATTGCTTTCAGGCAAATGAGAACATGGGCAGTGTTTGTAAGTACTTATATTTTTCTCTTTAATTTTGCCCCTTAGCCTATGATGTCTGAAATATGTACTATCTAGGCTTTACAGAAAAGGTGTGCCTATCCCTGAGTAAAGTCAAACTTACTAAGGACAATAAAAGAATGACCCCCTCCTCTCCTACGTCTAGCTTCAAATAAGAAAAACCTTTTTCAGTATCAGCACATTAGTGAAGCAGAGACAACTTCTATTGCTAAAGCATCTTACTGATTGAGTCTACTAATTGATGTGCAAATGAAAAGACCACTTTTATTTTCCATATAGGATGCCTGTGGCAAAATTGGTTTCCAATCATTTTCAGGATTATAGGTTTTTTCACCCAGGATACACAAAGGGGAATACCATGTGCTCCAGGGTTCTCTTCAGAAAACTGCAATACTCCACTCTGTCTGAATTATTTGGGACCATTCATTATATCAGAGCAGTACACAACAATCTAGAAAATTAGCAGAGTCACACAAATAGTCTAACACTGCCTACCAATTTGCAGTGAAGCTACTATGTTTTAGTCCTCATGACTCTCTTTAGAGCTCTCTCGTCTGAATATAGGATGTCATTCCAGGAACAATTATTTCACTAGGCTCACAGGCTGGAAACACCTACTTAGATTCACTCATTTAAAAAATAAATGATAGCTGAAGAATGGGCTTTACCAAAATGAAACATCTCTCTAGCTTATTAAAAGACTCTTTAAAGGATTACAAATAAGATACTAAACATAAAGACTTTGATTTACATTCTAAACTCTAGATGAGTATTTTAATATCCCCTTTCATCCAGATAACTCCCCTAGTCTCTGATTTTCCCTTTATAGGTGAGACTGATGTGCCACTAATTGAACACTTAAGCTGACCTCATATGAAAATATAAATGCAAAGATACCATTAGCTCTCTACAGGGTATGGCTCATATAACTAGTCTTTAATTAGAATCTTTATTACTCTGTTGACCAGGAAAAATAAAAATAAAGTAAATAAACTACAGATGTAACTCTCACATATTTCTATAGCAAAAGGCAACACCGAAAAACCATGATAGCTACATAACAAACCAACAGCAACTTCCTCAGGCCTCGGAAACACCAATTTGATTGCCAAATTTACATTAATAAAAGGGATTTGAAATTCATATGCTACCTTTCTACAGTCGTTAGTTATCCACATAGACTAGAGAGAGAGAGGAGGAAAGTCTTGACAATGTTTTTAAAATGAGAAGAAAGATGTGAGAAACAATAAATAAAGCCTATGCTAAAGTAACCTAACATTTATTTAAAAATTAACATTAAACTAGGCTTAACCACAGGAAATTATATAAAAAATAAACCCACAGTGTCATCAATAATGATATTTTAACAGTTGTCAAAAATTCTGAAGCTTTTGTCCTCTAGTCCCAAGAGACTAGATGAGCCTGTAAAGCAGATACTGTTCACATTTTACAAATGACTAAACAGAGGTACAAGATATTAAGTAACTTATTCATCAATACCATAAATCTGGCAAGTAGGTGAGCAATGCATTAAACTCAGATATCCTCACCTTATGACCAAGAACTTTAGCAGCGTACTCTATTGGTTCCCACACAATGGTGTCCCAGGACTTTCACTTAGGCTAAGTTTATGAAGGGATGGATGAAAAGGTGGGGTTTGATGAGAGATGACAAGACATATCTTAAATTTTACCAAAAGTTGAAACTACCCTAACTTCTGAAGCCCTTAGCAATTACTTTGCAAGATGATATTTGATGTAGTAGGTGTAGACTTTGTGCCTGTAATAGTGTATGTTAAGTTCCTTGGAGTGGGAAGGAAACTGAGCCTGAGTAAAACATTGTGTTTGTTTCTCTGCTTCCTACTGAATGTTTATACTTGTCTCAATTTAGTGAAGGCTCAAACAAGCAGATACACTCTCTCTATGAGCCAAAAAGCACCTCTGTTTGTGACTTACTGTGTGTAACACGTGGACAAAGGTCCTTTCTCATGAAGTAGTTCTGGATAAAGGTCGCCTCTGTGCTACAAGAGAGCATGCTTGTTTTTATTATTTTAAAGCGTATCTTCTTTCCATTTTGAATTTTCTGTATGTAGCAAGCAGCACATCTTAATCGTGAATCAGATAGAATGTGGTCCCTCAAAGAGCTCACTGTTTACTAGTGGAAAAAGAATACATAGATAATTATTAGTAATTCATCGTAATATGGGAGACGAAACATCTTAAATGGCTAAAAAACCTTTCTTACATGTTTTCAATGGTTTAAAAAAAATGAAATGAACAAAACAATGATCATTCCTTCCTCTGTATGAAAACATCAGAGAATGCTTCAGATAAAAAATAGTGACTTAAGATGTTATTTTATAAAATAGTATCTTGAAAAGGAGCCGGTCCAGCTTTTAACCAGTGTCAATCAGCAATAGAAAAACTAATAGGTTCCCCCCATTTTATAGTAAAAATTAGAATAACCAGAAGAAAATATACCCGAAGTGACATAAGGAAAAAGAGAATGAACAATTCACATAGTCTATAGATAAAAATGAGGTTGTGGCAAATAACTTGAAGGTTTAGTAAGTCACTTATTTTAATATCAACCATCGGCCTACACAGTCTAGTGTTCATTATAAATAAATCCCCTTGAGGTAGCCAAAGTTCTATTTACCAGTTTAGACAGAAAATGGTATAATCATAGAAACTAAGGTTGTTTCTATCGCACAATTTTTTTTTTTTAATATTTGTGTTGAACAAATCCCTCGGGCTAATGTAGACAGAATGATTGTTCACTGTGGAACTCTAACAAGGATTCCAAAATCACCTTATATTTTAAGCTTTGAAACTGAAATGTGTTGAATATCATTCCAATTCACCAAGGCCAAAAAGACATGAAATGCCAAATATTATGTAGCATTACTGAAAAGGGCTTTAAAAAAATCTGTGACAAATGATAGGATCTAGTTGAAATGTTTTGTAATGGGAAGAGCTGTCAGCATCAAACATTTTAATTCACAACCTAGATTACCATCTGCAACCTGATTCAGGAATCTGCTCAAATTATAACACTGTTCTCTTATTTCCAAATCAGATTAGATCATCTGAACCTCTGCATTCCAGGCAAAATGGTCCACCTTAAAAAAAAAATAAAATCCAATAAACCACTCAATTTCTAAAATAATGGTGATACGAAATGACACATGGTTAAAAAGAAAACAGGAACTTTATTCATTGAGCAGGCTAAAACAGGACAGGGCTCACATTGATTTGGCTTCTTTCAAATGAGAAAAGGCAGAAAAGGAATCAAGAAGCTGCAATGTGGTAAGGGACCTGGACACATCAATGATGTCCTGGCGACGTCACCCACAGTGTGGGACCAGAACAATTTAAGGGACTCATGTGCCTCTCCTTCCTTACTTACAGACAAAATCTTCAAATAGCAAGAAAAACACCATACCGAGAAAGAAGAACAACCTTCTGTATTATTTCCCTTCATTTTGAACTTCTAGCCCCTCTTCCCTTCCCTTTCCTAAAATATTTATGTACAGCTGGAATTTTCAGACTATTATTTTCCCCTTGACAGTCATATCAATTTAGTCTTGGAGTCAATCACATATTTTGGTAGGAAAAGAGATTTACTTATTTATTCAATGGATATACAGAAAGCATTTAATCTGTCCCAAACATTTCTCAAGAAGTTGGGAAGGCAACTGAGAACAAGTCACACAAACATAGTGTGAAATGCCTAGTTTACTCCAATATTAATTAGAATAAAATAAAATGAGATTATGGACAATAACTGCTGGGAAAGACCTAAAGGAGGATATGCTCCCTCCTTCCTTCCTTATTTATTCCTTCTTGTCTCCCTAGTTTCCTCTCCCCTCCCCTCCTTCCTCCTTGCCCCCCTTCTTCTTCTAACCCCCACAACATGCACAGAAGAGTTTTTGTAATTATCCATGTATTCTTTTTTATTTTAAAAGATTTTTGCTATAAAGCACGTATGCTCATGAGAGAGAGAGAGACAAAAAGCAAGAATCACGACCCCGGGGGGATGGCCACACTGCAATCCCTTCTCCATTCTCCTCTTGGGATTTTGGACATGCATGTACATGTGCCCAGGGTGCATTTTAAGTCGCTGGGTCCAGGACTCAAACCATGGTCGACTTCATGGGAGTCCAGAGATGTAACCATTATGCCACCTGCTGGTCCCTCCATATATCCTTAAGACTTGACAAAGGGACTTGGAACCTGGTAAATGAACAATAAATAAGAGACATCGTTGTATAACTAAACCTGACTGAAACCTGAATCTCAGTATGTCCTGCATGGTCACCACTAGTCACCTGTGTCCACTGAGCATGTGAAATGTAGTTCATCTGAAGAGAGACATACTGTTAAATACAAGATACTTGCTGAATTTCCAATATTTAAGAGAAAAAAGTTTAAAAATGCATTATAATTTAAAGGCATTTATAGCCTATAGAAATGACAGTACTGTAGGTGTACTGGGGTAGACAATATATTATTAAAATTAATCTCATCATATACTTAGTTTTATTTTTTTATCTTGGCTACTAGAAAATTTTACTTTTTCTACATGGCTGCATTTTATTTCTATTGGATAGCATTCCTCTAGAGAGGTAGGTGGTTAACAGATGCTCATATAGCTAATGACAGAACAAACGTATGCTGATTTTTGACATTATGATTTTTCAAAATTTGAACAAGAGAAACTCTCAGCAACGGAAATCTCATTATAATCTATGGTATAATGGAGGCCATAATCAGCAGTGTTGTGAAACAGACTCCATCCATAATCACGCCAATATTAAGACAAATGTGATTTCACCTTTTAGAATTCAAATAGAACATTCAAGGCAGAGGTACACATACCTGATAAACAGGAAGGGATTATAACATGGAACACAAGGTAGGTAAACAATGACACAAAGATGAAGAGCATACCATCAAACAATTATACAACTGTTTCAATTGCCAGAGGGTAATGTATGCATGTGTGCTTATCAGCAAGAGACAGAGACAGAGAGACAGAGAAAGAGAGACCAACCCCCTCATGGGGCATGGTCATTCCACAATCCCTTTTCCTCCATTTTCCTATCCTGTCAGGATCTTGGGCATACACACACCTGCATTCACACACATGTCTGCATAGTTTTCAAGCTACCAAGGTTGGAATGTGAACTACTATCAGGCATATGGGACCCAGCCCTCTTAACAACTCAGTTGTGAGGACACTCCAACAGCTATGTAATTTGAAAGAGGAAAAAAATAGTCCAGAGTCCACTCAACATTATGAAAATTCATTCATGAATAATAGTGTACACATAAGTAAATCAATTGCTGTCTTTCTTTTAGTGATTTTAGATCTTGTTTTACTCTACTGTGGGCTTACATAAGACTTCCATGTGAGTGGAAGTACACACAGACACATGCATGTACACAGATATTCTGAAGCCAAAATGACAAAAGGAAGAAAAGCTCGCTGAAAATAAAACAGCATTTTGTAGTCATAGCAACCTCAACTTTTAAAAAGCAATATTAAGGCAAGAAGAGCTCATCAAGAGCTACATCAAGTTGTTATAGCAACCAAAATATGGCTTTATAGAAACAAGTTTGCATTAAAATAGCCAGAGGGTTATAATGGTAAAAGACAGTTGTAAAAATATATCTTTAAAGCCCAAAGGTTTCAATTAGGACTTGTGTCCTCTGCTTCATTAGAACAAAATACAATCTCAGGTGATTATCCTAATAAGCACATAGTGGCAGTGACAATCAGGAAGGATATAGGATGGTAATACTTGATAATACTCAGTGAGGCCAAAATTAGTTAATCAATACTAATAATCTGGTCCTTTGTTAGTGATGAAAATTATTAAGTCAAAAGTAGAGTAAAAAGTAGTCAAGGACAAGTTGGTGGTGTGGTGGTCAGGCAGCTGGATCACACAGTTGGAGTCTTGGAGCCAGCAGGCTGTAAATACACTGGGTGAGTGAGCGTGCGTGCCCACAATCTCGGCAGGAAAGATGGAGAAGAAATAATGTGGCATGATCTTGATGCTTTCTCACTTTTCTACTCTCACTCCCTCTCTCTCCGCAAATACATCTTTCCGCTAACTTTTTTTTTTTTTTTTTTTTTTTGAGAGAGATTTTTGCTATAGGGCATGTGCACTCTACCCGGAGAGACAGAAAGCAAGAAACCACACGCACACACACGGGCGGGGGGGGGGGGAGGGGGGGGGCATACCACAATTCCTTCTCCTCCATTCTTCTATTGGGATTTTGGGTACACACATGACTGGTGTGAGTTTTAAACCACCACGTCCAGGGCTTGAACTGTGATAGACTATGTCAGAGTCCAGTGACATAACCATTATGCCATCTGCTAGTCCCCAGTTAAAGAAGTAATCCAATGAGGTTCTGTGGAGACATTTAAGAATAAGTCTTGGACAGGTCTTCTCAACTTTGGCACTGTTCACTTTTTTGGAACAGTTGTTCGTTGTGAGGACCTGTCCTGTACGTTGCAGTGCAGGGACATATTAAGTAAGCAGCATCCCTGGCCACTATCCACTAGATACAAGTAACACACACGCTGGGTGGGATGAACCAAAATGCCTCTAGACATTGAGAAATGTTCCCTGGGGAAGATGAGGGTCGCCAAATCACCTCTGACCGACACCTTTGGTCCTGAAACATGTCATCCTTACTACCCTGATACAGAAAGTCAGCAAATGTGGAAGAAATTAGCTAGTAAGTCAATCATATTCTTTTTTTGAGGGCAAACACTTCGAAGTCCTTTATGTCTTGGGACCTATGGCATACTCTGCTTATCATCTCAGATCAAATACTTTATTCTTTACTTCTACTCTTGACAAGTCTGACACGACAGTCTTTACCTTCTAGAAACCCTCTTCCTTCTCCTGTTTCAGTTAGTACACTCGCAGATGCCTATGAGCTCTCCTGCCAAATGGGAAACTATAACTGGCCCGTTTTTTTCTCTTCCCATCCCTTTTACTTTCCACAGTTGTTTCCCATTCATTTAAAGATTTTATTTGGAAAAAACTCTTACTATTCAAAATGTCCACCTCTCCTTTAGTTAACTACCTGAATTCTCCTCCATTAATCTTTATTAATTGGTTTAAATATCATTAAGCGCTATCAAACACTTAATGCACCACTTAGATTAAACATCACATAGTCTGGGACTATTAGATATTTTATTGAAGCCAAATAAATTAAAACAAAATAAGAACACATGTGATCAAATTTTATGGGGGTGATAAAGTTAATAAATGTCTTAGGCAAGGTGATAAGAAGGGTATGAGAATGAAATTGTAGTTCCTGGTCAAAGACAGTTTTCAGTCTAACTTCTAAACACCAGTGATAAGTACTCCAAATAAGATGCTCTCAGAGAGCAGCAGGAACTATTGGGCTGTCAGGAAAGCCATGATACATTTCTGCAGAGGAAAACAGAAAAATACTGACTTTCCCGACATCCTAATATCTGTGTATCTATAGAGGCTACTATGATACTTGACCCAAAATTGACAATAGATGACCAACACCAGCTTCTATGATTCAAGGTCTATAGAACTTCTTAAGCTAAGTAGTTAAACTTTTTTAAAAGAGTAATAGCAATCTAGGTTATTACATCAGCATGCATCTTTTTTTTTTCTTTTTAGAGAGCAATTTATACCATGGAGTATGTGCACTCACCAAAGAGACAGAGATAGAGAGACAGAAAGTGAGAAATCACCCCCTGGAGGATGGCCACACCACAGTCCCTTCTCCAGCCTCCTCTCGGGATCTTGGGCACACATGCACATGCTCCTGGCATGAGTTTCAAGCCACCAGGTCTAGGACTTGAACTGTGGTCAATCATGTGGTTGTCCAGTGATGTAACTGTTATGCCATCTGCTGGTCCCAGCATGCATCATCAAGGGTTTATATCTCCTCCAGTTCTTTCCATTAGCATGATCTTACCGTCTCTCTCGTATATATCCAAATAATTTTACAAAGCAATTTTTAGAGAAATTTACTTTTTAAGGATTTCTATCATATTTTTCACTAGGTTGATATTATCTAATATAAACATACGTACATATACATACATACATACACACATGGAATATATAATACACACATATATGCAATAGATACTGCATATATAAATATACATATATATAATATGAAAGACATATCTATATATATTTTCCATTTCATTTTCCAACACAATTCTCATACTTCTGTTACTCTCTGAAAGCACATACATACTGCTGTAGACCCTTGTACCTGCTGGTGTATCCATTATTAATTTGCTTGCCACAGGACCCTGACCGAGTTGACAATAATCTTTATGGAAAGCTTCTGAAAAGTATTAATAAGTAGTCAATTTTCTAAATCAGTTTTTCCCCCTGAAAAAACTTACAAATGAATAACCGGGAGCTTAGTTTCATGCTGTTTAAAAACTGCGTTGTGGTGGCACCAGCAGTTGGCGTAATGGTTATGTTGCTAGGCTCCCATTTAGTCGA